AGAAGTAAGAAGTAAGAAGTAAGAAGTAAGTAAGTAAGTAAGTAAGTAAGTAAGAGTAGAAGAGTAGTAGAGTAGTAGAGTAGTAGAGAGAGAGAGAGAGAGAGAGAGAGAGAGAGAGAGAGAGAGAGAGAGAGAGAGAGAGAGAGAATAGATAGAGAGAGAGAGAGAGAGAAATGAACTTAGAGAGAGAGAGAATGAACTTAGAGAGAGAGAGAAATGAACTTAGAGAAAGAGAGATAAATAAATGCACTTAGAGAGAGAGAGAGAAATGTACATAGAGAGAGAGGTTTTCTTGCTCTTAAGTTAACCGGAGGGGTGAAATATAACCATGGGAGTGAGTTAGCTAACCTCCGTTGTTTTTTGAGAGATGACTAAAATACCCTTTTGATTTTTACTTGTGTGTTCGCAAAACCTAACCGGAACAATTAAGCAGTTCAACCTGCTTAGTAGGTAAATTGGCCAATTCTCAGGCAAGTCCTTAGCAGTCAAAACAATAGGTTGCAAAAATTAGAAAAAATGCAAAATAAAATCTAATAAAATATACAAAGTATATTTAAATAATGATTATACAAAATACATCCAAATGAAATTGAAAATTAATTTTAAAAAATAGATTTTTAAATAATCGATTTGTACTTACGGGTATTTTAAAATTTTATAAATAAGATGGAAAAATATAAAAAGTAAGTATTAGTGACCAAAACAATTTCTAATATTTGCCATAATAATAAAAAATATCAAAAAATATATTACAAACAAAAATTCTTATTTTTCAGATTTTATATAAATTTTTTTAATTACCAAAACCAACTGAAACCGGAAACGGCTATTAGCCAGTTCGGATCTAAACGGGCAGTTTTCGGTTAGATCGGCCAATTTTTCTAACTTTGGTTGTCATGCAAGGTTAAGAAAATTGAAAATCGATCATCAAGGGATAGGATCCGTTATCGTTTTGTAGTGGGGTGAAGGAAAATCATGGTCAAGAGGAAAAAGAGAAAATAAAATAAAAATATAAAAACTAACATGATATTTTCAAGGACACGGTTTATACGAGTCGATGTAGAAATGAGTCACCTCTTAAAAATCTATTTTTGAGATGGATTTTTGGATTTAAATTTTAAGGACACGTAATCTCTAACATGGAGATCATGAATATGAAAAATAAAATAAATTTTAAAAATTAAAAATAATAATTCTGTTAAGAATTAGTTTCAATTGTTTTGAGATGGACCACCTATTTGCATCCATCTTTAAGATGGATGCTTTATACCTTGGGACCATAGTTAGCAAGTCAAGGACTTTCAATAAATCGGCTTACTTTAAAATCAGAAAAAATTCTTTTTTATTTTAAAAAGTCAGATGAAAAAATCAGATAAAAAAAAAGATCGACAAAAATACTTCATGTAAAGATATCGTAAATATATCGGACTAGGCTTAAGAAAGAGTCAAAAAATTGGATAAATACATATAAAAAAAATACATCATATCAAACCTACTTAAATACATATAAAAAAATACACCATATCAAACCTACTTAAATACATATAAAAAAAATACACCATATAAAGAGAAGGTAGATCAAGCCGAACTATTACATGGTTTGATAGCAGTTCCCCATTCTCTCTCTAGAAATTTTCGGATTCACTAATTTTCGGATCAAACCTCTGTGAAAAATCAAACCATTTTTTTAGAGAGAGAGATGATTAACACTACTAGGAAACCTCAACTTTATCTTCCTGGGATTGATTATGGGAAAGATACCATAATTCATGATCCAATATGAGAGGCAAAGGATGACTAATTTTTTTAGAGAGAGAGGGACTTCAATAAGAAATCCAACTTTATCTTGGGTTTGGAAGAAGAAACCCAATTCCGGTTTATGGAGGGTTTTGAAGAAGAAAAACCAATTTCTTTTATTTTTCTTCTTTTGGTTGAGTTAGATTTCTCAAAATCCCCAATTAATCTCTTGACACTAGGCTTTAAATTCATCTATCTTTGGATTAAGCTTTGAATTTGAATTTTGCAGAGAAGATTCTAAGGTTCCAACTAAGAAAGAGTAAGAAAGATTCAAGTCCATTAGAGCTCGAAATGGTGCTTTTCGGGCTTGATCTAGCTTCTCTGTAACTTCATCACCCACTCCCCTTTTTGGAACCTCAAGACTCAAAGCCACCATTAAAGCCACTTCAAAGCTCCATCAAACCATTTTTTCATAGAGATTTGATAGAGTTATTTGCAAAGGGGGAGAGGAAGTGCCCAGATTTGAGCAGGGCTTTTTCATAGAGGTTTGATAGCAGTTCCCCCATCTCTCAATAGAAATTTTTGCACACGTTTATTTGGAGCCGTTTTGTTCGTTTTACAAAAAATCGCATTTTTAACAGTACTATGAAAAATACACGTTTTTTGGATGAACTTTGCAAAAAAACGGTGTTTAAAACATTTTTAAAACATACGCCGATTTTTTGAAAAATTCGGCGATTAATCGCCGAATTGCTAACTATGCTTGGGACCACATATTGTATAAATGCGGTCCAGCCCGCATGAAACAATTGTTTTATTTTCAAATAGAAAAAGTATATAATGAGACCATTTACCTTTGGTACAAGATGGGACAATTAATCTTGACCATTAGATGTGAAATTGGATGGTTGCACTTAATCTTTTGACCAAGCTCAAACTTCAAAAAAAATAATGGGAAAATTACAAAAAAAACCCAAGACTACACTTTCTATGCAACTTGCCCCCAACCTAACTTTTTCTCTTACTTTTTTTCCCCAAAATACAATTTCTATGCAAATACCCCCCAACCAAAAAATAAATAAAAAAATGCCTAAACTACCCTCCCTTACTTTTACCTTACCCACGCCTCTCTCTCCTCTATCCCACCAAAATAGGGTTTCGACACTGTGTAAGTGCGGTTCGACAGTGGAACACTCTGGAGTCACAGGGCTCTGGCACTGTGTAAATATGATCCGGTAGTAGAACACTCTGGAATCACAGTGCTCCGACACTGTATATGTGCGGTCCGATAGTGGAACACTCTAGAGTCACAGGGCTCTAGCACTGTGTAAGTGCCGTCCGACATTACATTCTCTGGAGTCACAACTTCGACAGTTGCAAAGGGCAGTCCGACAACAGAACTTTTGAGTCGCTGGGCTCCGACACTTGCAAAGGGCAGTCCGGCAATACTCAGTTTCGATTCAACAAGTGTGCTCCGGCAATGTGCTACTAGGGTCCGAAAGTCAATGTCAAATTTGGCCAAATTGATTTTTGTGTACGGGAAGGGCCCTTGGGGGGCATTTGCATAGAAAGTTTGTTTTGGGGAAAAAAGTGAGAGAAAAAAGTTACGTTGGGGGTAAGTTGCATAGAAAGTGTAGTCTTGGGGGGTTTTTGGTAATTTTTCCAAAAAAATTCAAACTTTGTGACACACCCAAGCTAGCAGATTTCACATTGGTTAAAAGTAATTGTGACCCCCTTGCATTAAAGGTTAATGGTCTCATTGTATACAATCTCTTTCAAATATTATATTGAGTAAAAATTTAAGGGAAAATTGCATAAACCCCCCAAAATCACCTATTCATTCAACTTACCCGCCACCTTAGCTTTCCTAAGAACTTTTTCTCCAAAACTGTGTTTCCTAATAAATACCCCCCCAATACAAAAAGTGCACTTTTTTTTTATGAAGATACCCTTCCCCTAATTTAAGAACTCATTTCAAGTCCAATAAAAAGAAATGCCTCACCGAGGTTACGAATGCCGGATCGCCCTCTTATAATTCCATAATTACCGGATCGCATTTGTAAAATGCCGGAGCGTCAGTCAACAACAAAAATCCCCGAACTGCCATATACAAATGCCGAACTAGCCTCTCTAACCGCCGGACTGCCCCTCCGAACGCCATATCGAGGTAGTTTCAGTGACACTGAACGATGGATTGTCCCTTCAAAATACCGGACTGACCTCTCAAACTGCCGAACTGCCCCTCTGAACGCCGAACCGGGGCAATTCTAGTGACACTGAATGCGGGACTGCCCTTCCTCATTGCCGGATTGCTCTCATAACGCCGAACCAGGGCAGTTTCAGTGACACTAAATGCCCGACTGTCGCTCCCAAACGCCAGACTGCCCCTTGTAATTGCCCGACTGCCCCTCAGAACGTCGGACCGGGGCAGTTCCAGTGACATCAATCACTGGACTGTCCCTTGAAAAAGTCGGACCGCCTTTCGTTATTGCCGGACTGCCCCTCGTAATGTCATACTGGGACAGTTCCAGTGATTCTAAACGCCAAACTGCCCCTTGAAAACGCCGAACTGGCGTTCCTTTTTGCCGGACTGCCCATCATAACCCTGGACTGGGGGTAGTTTTCGTGACACTAAACGCCAAACTGCCCATCATAACCTCGAATTGGGGTTAGTTTCGTGACACTAAACGTCGAAGTGCCCTCGAAAACGCCGGACTGCCCTTCCAAACTGCCTGACTGTCCTTAGAACGCTGGACCAGGCAGTTACAGTGACATTG